GTACTCGCTTTTTGTTGATTTCATCAAATCATTTGATACGGTGAACCGCGAGGCATTGTGGCTGGTGTTGGGTAAGTTTGGTTGCCCGCGTAATTTAGTAAGTTTAATTGAATATCTGCACAGTGGTATTCGAGCAAGATTGCAACTGAGTAGAGACCTCGGATGACTTTGCAATTGCCTCTGGTGTGAAGCAAGGCTGTGTCTTAGCTCCTGCCCTGTTTAATATATATCTTCCTGCAATGATGTCTTGTGCTTTTGATGCCGCTTGTGCTTACGGTGTGCCCGTGGAGCACCGTATTGATGGTGGGTTGCTGAACATCCGTCCTTTCGGTGCGAGAATTCTAGTCCGTGAGACAACTATCCGTATGTTGCTGTTTGCTAACAACTGTGCGTTTGCACACAGCGCGGATGAATTGCAGCACCTGACTAGTGCTTTGGCTTCGACAGCGTTCTAGTTCGGGCTCACCATCAACACAAGCAAAACTGTCTGTCTCTTTCGGCATTCACCGGAGGTGCAATCGTGAATATTGCCGCGAATCAGCATTGTTGCTGAAGTATTGGAAATCACCTCCCGCTTCTGCTACCTTGGGAGTGTGATGTCGACTGATCAGCAGAAACACAGTGAGCTTCGTATCCGCGTGTCGAAGGCAGCGGCGGCATTCAGGAAGCTTGAGTATCGAGTGTGGAACAATCACCAGCTTATGATTGGCACGAAGCTGATGGTGTACAAATCCATGGTACTGTCCGTTCTTCTATACGGTAGTGAAACGTGGACGATGTACCGACGGGATGTGCGATATCTCGAGCGGTCCCATCAGCATTGCTTGCGACGGATTTTGCACATCGGTTAAGGCGACAGAGTTGCAGACACGGAAGTGTTACGCCGTAGTGGAATGTATGCAGTGGACTGCATACTTTTTCTGGGACACCTGAGGTGGCTCGGTCATGTGAGCCGTATGGAGTCAACGCGGATACCGAAACAACTCCTATATGGTCAGCTGAGTATTGGGAAGCGGCATGTGGGGAAATCAAAATTACGTTACCAGGACAAGATCAAAGTGAGCCTCTCACGTTCTAATCTTGATTGCCGGGCAAGGGAATCGAAAGCGGTTGATCGGCGTGCTTGGCGCGATCTGATCACGAAGACAGTTGCTGAAGTGCGGGAGAAAGACCTCGTACATGCAGAGAATAAGCGGCAAGCACCGTTAGGTTGTACTCCATCGACATCGAGCGCATGGTGCTGCATCACATGCGGTCGCGAGTGCCTGAGTCAGTCAGGCCTAGTGAGCCATGAGCGAGGCCACTAGGGACCATTACCGAAGCGACGACGAGTCCTGCAGAGAACGTAGGCAGAATCGGCGCAACGTTTGTAGGTACGCTGCATTCGATTTACTGACCGCGTGCTTGCATGTTAAGTCTATTTATTTCAGGTGCTGGGTTCCCAATTTTGTCCTAATGCTTTTCTTTCTCATACAAATGCCTACCTGTACTCTCTTCTGTAAACTTGCACACGTCGCTTAAGCCAAGTGTAGTTAATTTCGATAACATTTTCGTGTTTGTGGCATTTCCGTAAAGTATGCTTTCTGACCTCGTGAACTTATCTCTAATTCTTTTGTAAACAACTTATTTCATATGCTCATTAATTTAAGATTTACGTCACCGTTTCCTTACCTGATTCGAACCCGCGCCGCAAGAGTCTAGTATTTACAGCATATTCTAAATATCGGAGAAATAAAAATCATATATTGACATACATAGTGGTCCATTTGAAAGCTCCGAATGGGCACAGAATAATTCGTCGCGACCTGACGGAGAGCTCCATATACAAACAGAACCAAGTTTACTTTTTCGCCATCTGCTGTTCTGTTCAGTTTGCATGTCTTTTCTTTCACGTGATACGTTTGCTGTTTGATATCCCATGCGTGACTGCGCTGGGTGTGAATGTTCACAAGGTGCCTACCTGTCGAAAAGCCGCTACCTCGATTATACTGGCTCCAGGAGACAGTTGGTAGTTGCTTGAGTAGACCGGGTACACGGTCCTCGTAACCGTCTGGTATGCATGATTCCAAATTTAGATAAACAGGAATGCTGCTGTTGTGTATGTTGAAAGAATGTGGACCGGCTCCGTTGATGAAACCTGGCTCCCATCCACATGCCTTTCAGATTTACACTGGAGGTGAAGTGTGTGGATAGAGCTGTGAGTGGTGCAACGCGAGTCACCGATGGTTCCTCTGTAGTCGCAGGCCTCGTGTGGCTGTTCTATGGGGCTGCGGTGACAGACAAATCCGGAATAGGATGCCAACCAAGTGTGCAAATGTGTAGCTGTGTTAGTTTGGTTTGTAAATGCGCCACTGCACTTTTGACTGTGTTCGATCTCACCACCAGCGTGAGGAAGGATGATTGACGTCCGTGGAGTGGATATTATTGTCCAAATAAGCAAAGAGTAGTGATTTCAGTGAATTGCGAGTCACTACCGCCACGTTGCAACGTTGTTAGACAGACATGTGTAGCTTTTTCTGAGGAAAACGCTTGCCTATCGCCACTCGCCACTTCCTGGAACGCTGCAACCGAATTATTGCTGGAACGGGTTAAACCCGAACTGCCTAGCTGGCACCAAGGGGAGGTTGCTCGGCTAATCATTATAGCTAATGTGTAGAATGAGTGCATGAATTTTCCTTCGTTCGGTGCTTATTCTAAAAATCTCACCTGACTAAGCTTCGGAACATCCCAGACAACCCGCTTGCGCGTTCGTATCTTCTGCGACTATTAATGTATCTGATATGTTAACACTGTTAAGTACTGTGTCTAGTTCGTGGGAGAAGGCGTTCTTGTTGGCTTCAGGAATGCAGTCGGTGAGGTCACACGGCGTAATAGCAAATGGTATCTAATGCTATTCATGTGGTACTCACAGTCGGTGGAATTCAATCGAATTCAATCGACCAATAATTACCACTGGTGCCGAGAACGAAGCCCATCCCGGCTTGAACTATGATTGCTGTATCATCTTCCGTGGATGCGTGTACCTAATAGCTAGAGCACAAGTCGGGTGCAATCAGTTCGGTAACCGCATGAAAATCATTGATCCTATTTTGGGACACGCAGCACAAATCAACACCCAGAGTATCCAATGTTTTTGCGAGTGCGGTCTGTTGGCATATCTGTCCTTGAATACGAATGCTGAACAGGTAGACATAGCCTAATAAGTGGCTATTGATTATTTGAGTTCAATGGGTGCTGTGGGATTATAGCTGCGGATGATAAAACCCCAGTGGCATAACAGCCGCCTTCAATTCAGCTTGGGATTGATGGATAGTAATTGGGATCATGAGGGGTGTATTAGAAGCATATTGTAGTAGCGGTTTCCGATTATCCGCCCTGGTTTATATGGTATATAGTGCGACCCTTTTGAAACTGCGAGACAGTTAATCCAGGGTTTAGCTGGAGGTTGATAATTTACACATTCATGGTTATACTGTCAAGGCACTCAAAACTAGAGAGAACAACTCTTAAGGTCCTTAATCAAAACCGGCTCGCAAGACAGCAGACAGCGATCGGGTTTTACCCAAACGAGTTTCATCCCATATCCAAGCCCCCCCCCCGACCTGGAAATTCAAGAGGCTGCATATGTCGAATTTCTAGCATTTGAACAACCTGGTAGAGGTAGCTCCCAAGGAGCTGGAGGGCAGAACACACCGTGGCTCAGTGAGTCGAAATAGTGCGCAAACTTCCGCGAGGGATAGTGCGAGCGCTACGTACATTTGCCCAGCCCTTATCGAGGAAACTTTGATTATTTGCCAACACTAGGATGGCTTGCGTTTCGGTGACCTAGCAGCGAACTATGGAACCGCTGGCCGCTAGAAATCGTGTTGCTATTCCAGAATCCACATGACCCATATCACTAGGCTCGAAGACACAGTCAGCACCGCGGCACGTTTGTTGTCGTCTACTAGTGTGTGTACCTAAAGTCTGATGCTCGGTTACCTGTGGGTTGGTCGACCGTTGGCCGAAGGGATAAGGCGTATGTCCTGTAATCCACAGGCCACCGATTCGAATCTGCGTGGGTGCGAGTGACTTCGCAGTATTCCTAACACGCGCGCGATCGGTGTTGGTCGCGTGGCAGAGAAACGTTGGCACGATGTACCGGCGTAATACCGATTCTTTTCTTTCTTTATCCTACTTGTCTAATGAGGTTGATTATGCCGCAAGGGAACGAGAGATACACGGAAACTACCTCGCGGATGTCGCTTGTGGTTGAATACTGTTGGAAGATTGCAAATGCACTGATAATGATTGTTTTCCCTCTATTTATGTTTTACGCTGGATTCCGCTTTCACCCCTCCCCATTATTTCTCATTCGTACACAACTTCTCAAATTCTGGTTGTAGCAGCGAAGCGCCAGTTCAGTATACTTATGTCAGGTATAACATCGCGATTTCAGGACGAAGCGATACCAGTGCATAATGCAAACAAGCTAATTTTGCCCGAAAGAGACCTAGATATGTGTATTATCAGGCTCCATAAACGAATATTCCTTAGCGAATTTGATACAACGGGGACTAAAGGTAGGACAACCTCGTGGAACTCCACTTGTTGTCATGGGCGTTAGACAATTTATTGTAGCCGGTAAAGTGATATGGTGTGTTCGACATGCGGATTTTGAATGTTCCAGTGGATTTCGTGAAGACTGAAACACGACATCTTCCACCAGTGACAATTCGGCGTTTTCGCTGTTCGATCAAACAAGCGATTCGTGAATGGTACCTCGTGTTTTCTCTGGTCTATGCACCGTACAAACTGTTAAATTCATCATTGGAACTCCAAATGTCCAGACATTTCGATTGTCCCATTAGAATCAAAACCCGTCCATTCTAATAATGTGGTGTTCATTGAACCCTGATGTCGAGGTACCATCTCACTAAGCTGCCACCGCGAACTTTATTCCACCTGTGCATATGAGAACCCATCAATCATCTGTTACAAAGTGACTTTTTCCATTCCAGAGTTTCACTAGTTGTGACCTTGGGCGATTGCTCCCTGTTGCGTTTCAACAGTGTATGTTAGAGAACCACGTAAGCTATTGTTTGTTTTCAGAGTCTACTCCCGCAAACATAACTCTCTGATATGACCAATGCCGTTGATCCAGATGTCAAAAAAGTGAGTCCATTGCGGTTTCCGTCGATCGCCGATGTTTCAGGCGATAGAAGCCCACAGACAGCAAACAATCTTCGCCAACAATCAGATTAATCTGTTGAATGTCCAAATTGAAGGTTTGAGCATGAAGCATCGCCGTTCAGAACTCGTTGAGCTGGAACTCCAATCCCTACCGGACGGTACGGTCACCTATAGATCACTTGGTAGAATGTATGTCAGTCAGCCGCTTGTGTTCTCAATATCTCTACCAGGTTCATTAAAAAGGATAAAGCAGCAATTCTGGATGACATCGTAAATGAACGATCTGAGGTAACGAAAAGTGTCGAGTCATTAAAAGTATGTATATGTCCCTATTTGCCGTTATCATGTTTGTCGTCACATTGCAGAAAACCAAACAGACGATTGCCGCAAACTTAGAAGGATCGAAGGACGCGCTGAGGGAACTCTTGAACTCCAGACAACAAAGTTAACTTTCGAAGCACCTCGATATTGCTGTATTGTGATCACATTTTGCCCCTGGTATTTCTCCGTGAGCGAACGTTGTATCTACTCCTGCCGTTGCAAGAAGCTTATTTTTCAATACCCCTCTACTTAAACTTGGGCAGATGATCGGGTTCGATCATCCGAGTATCGGAGTGTGATTGACTCGGTTGCCTTGATTCGCGTCATCATGGTAACATTAATAATCAGTGACAGAGATAAGGTGTAGAAGAGACAACACAAGTGATCTAAAAAAAAAAGATATTATAGGCTGGTGGGATGTAGGGCCTCAAGAAAGAGGAAAGCCGCAACAACGCCACTGACTGCGCGACTACATCATGCCGAATAAGGCTTCCAGCCGATAATGTGACTGAACTCAGAGCAGATAACAATCGGACCTATCTTTTTCATCGAATGTCTTACGTTTTTTTACACGCAATGAACTGATCGCTCTGGACTGTTCCCAGCTAGGTAAATAATAATGTCTGGTGTGTGTGTGTGTGAAGAGTGTACAACAGTCGGCATATTGAGGTCACGTATCTTAATATTTCCAATAGCGTTCGGCAATGAAAAGGGACAGCAGTTCCTCAGCGCAATACTGCAGCATTTCCAGGCACTTTGGAAGTGTGAGGCGTGCTGTATTTTAACCTCTTCAGTAGTGTCTCCATAGGGAATAAGTTCGACTCCGTGTATCACTTCGGTAATGCAAATCGCGTAGGGGTGGGCGTCCTCGCGGTATACTCAGCCCGCGCGCGACTGGTGGTGGTCGCACGGCAGCGAAGCGCCGTTACGGCGTACAGCTGACACATTATTATTATTTAGTCAGTCTGACTGTCGGAAGGACTTACATTCCTAATCACCTCGATCACAGAGTTGAGGTAGAGCACCCATGAATAAACTACCCATTATTGTCAACGCAGGTGAGTTTTCCACAGATCCGGAATTTCTCTGGTTGGCGACGTCACAAGCGGAAGTGACCAACTGAAATAAATACAACCTTCGGTCCAAAGAAAACCACGGTTGACCATCCGCATTTATAGATCAAGGATGCTTTGGAGAACCAAGGAAGTACCTCGTTTTCAATTCCGAAGCATGTACATTTCCTTGAAACAAGGCACTGTATGTATGTATGTAATCTCAACGTGTGAAGGAGTGTGGCCCGGCTCCGTTGATGAAACGTGGTTCCCATCCGCATGCCTCCCGGTCTTATTCCTTCGGGTTTACACTGGATATGGGGTATGTGGTTGGAGCTGTGGGTGGTGCAGCGCAAGCCATCCATGGTCCCTCTGTAGGCGCAGGCGTCCTGTGGCTTGCCACAGTGACAGGCAAATCCGAAACCGGATGCCGCCAACCAATCTCAACGTGCCCTATGCTGAGGCTGATGTTGCATTCTTGATGCTTCTTCACCGCAGTTGGGCTAAACCAACTTACACTTAAACTAGGTCTTTTTAAGCTGGATAAATTTCATTTCGCTTTATTTGGTTTGTTCTGCCTCCCTGAATAATGTTCTATTAACTGGCCACGTTGCTTACACTATTTGCGCTTATCTTTGGTAATTTTGTTGCGTTTGTAGCATTTAAGTAACTTGTGGACATTTCTTACTTATCACGGATTTGTTGCTGACCAACTTACTTCATATGGTAATTTAGCGAAGAGTTATGCCACCGTATCTGTATGCATTATTGGATTTATTTTATTTCAGCTTGTCGTTTAAATTGAATGGCTGTTGTTTGATATCCCTGGTATGGTTGCGCTTGATGTGTATGTTGACAAGGTGCCTACCTGTCTATTACCCACTACATCGTTCATACTGGCTCCAGGAGACAGTTGGTCGTTGCTGGAGGGGACGGGGTGCACGGTTCTTGTGGCCGTGCTAGGCTCAAAGAGCGGTTCCATGCACTCAGTGTGGAGCGGACTACGGTCCAGCCACCGCCTTGTGTGCGGTTGATTCCCCAAATACAGCGTGCTTGTGTTTGCCTGTGAAGGAGTGTGGGCCGGCTCCGTTGATGAAACGTGGTTCCCATCCGCATGCCTCCCGGTCTTATTCCTTCGGGTTTACACTGGATATGGGGTATGTGGTTGGAGCTGTGGGTGGTGCAGCGCAAGCCATCCATGGTCCCTCTGTAGGCGCAGGCGTCCTGTGGCTTGCCACAGTGACAGACAAATCCGAAACCGGATGCCGCCAACCATGTAATCTCAACAGTCTAGTAACTAGACATAGAGCCAAGAAAGCCATGGAAATCAGTGTATAAGAGACAGTCATTGCGTCATAATCGTCGTGGCATGCTAGCTGAAGGTGGGCAACACACTTCAGTTAATATGCCGCAAGAAAATGGAATATTTTGACAAAAATACAGAACAAAACATTTTTAGTTTGTTTGTCACGCCGATTTTTCTCTTTTTTTGTCATTTTCAATGTTTTTAGAATTAAACATGTGAATCAACACAACACTGTACACAATTCTTCCATTGATTCCGGTTGCGGGCCATGTCATTAAGTGTCCTAAGCCATTGGCACTCCCCATCTTTGGGTCCCCATCCCGGAAGACGTACGGGTCCAACAGCGGCTAGACACGACGTCAGCGATTTCATGTGCTGCCGCCAAGTGGAAGGCTGACCACCACGCGGTCGCTTCCAGGCAGGTCCTTGACTAGCGAATAGAGCGCGACGAGGTAGACGCTCAGGTGCCATGCGTAGGACATGACCGAGCCATCTTAACTGGCGCAACAAAACCAGTTTGTTGAAGGAAATACTTGCATTCCCCAAGACGCGACGTCGAACGTCATTACTGGTAACTCGATGTTGCCACCGAACACGAGCGATCCTCCTTAAGCAACCGTTATCGAACGCAGAAAGACGACGCATGTCTTCCACGCGAATCGGCCAGGACTCGCTCCCATACAACAATACTGAGCGAACGGACGCGCTGTAAACTCGGACCTTTAGTGAGAATGAGACGTCGCGACGACGCCACAAGTGCCTCAGATTGACAAATGCTGATCGAGCTTTAGCGATGCGAAGTGAAACTTCTTTGTTGATTGTGCCGTCAGCGGAAACACAGCTCCCAAGGTAGACGAAACTATCTACCTGTTCAAGTTGTGCACCTTGGAGAGTGAGCACGGGTGCAGGTGAAAGCCAATCCTTGAGCAGTACTTTACACTTCGATGGGGCGAAGCTCATGCCATACTTAGATGCTTCAACCGCCAAACGATCCAGAATGAGTTGCATACCCTGAGGATCGTCACCAAGTAAGGCGATATCATCAGCATAATCTAAGTCGGTCGCGCGCTCATCCGGTAGAAGCTCTAGGCCAAAATGTTGGAAACCTTCTAGGGCATTCGACAGAACGTCTTCGATTGCGAAGTTGAAGAGGAATGGGGACATAGGGCAGCCCTGTCGCAGACCGCTATTGACAGCGAATTGTGAGGAAAGCTTGCCATAGACCCTCACTCTGCCGGATGTGTGAAGGTAAAGTGCTCGTAAGATGGCGATATATTTCTCTGGCACCCCGTTCTTTAGTAAGCAACATCATCATCATCATCATTACACGTTAGCTGGAGGTGGAAAACACCTCAGCTATTGTGCCGCAATACAAAAGGCAAGAAAAGAAAAAAAAACAAACAAACAGTGGCACGCCCGCTGAGTCCCCAGTAACGGATGGACATCGTTCCGGAGAGCTAACAGCTGGCTGCCATAAAGCAGGCCGATCAACGGAGTCAAAAGCGGCACGTATGTCTAGTAATGCAACGATAGTGGGCCTGTGATAAATGTGGCGATGTTCAAGGAGTTGGCGGAGCGTGAAGATTTGATCCACGCATCCGCGGCCAGGACGGAAACCAGGTTGTTCTTCACGGTAGTACGATTCACGTACTGGGGATAGTCTACGAAGTAGAATGGATGCCAACAGCTTAGAGGCAACCGAAATAAGACTAATCCCGCGATGGTTTGCACATGAAGTGCGAGCGCCTTTCTTGAAAATTGGGACAATAACTGATTCGCCCCAAGAGGGAGGCACTTTCTCTTCATGCCAAATTTTTGCGAACAGCGCGGTTAGCTGGTTAATGATTGCCATACCGCCATACTTGAATAGCTCCGGAGGGAGTCCGTCTAAGCCGGCAGCCTTGAAGCGCTTCAAACGTCGAATTTCGAGGCAGACTTTCGCTTCGCTGGGTGGATTCAATGGGACTAGCCAAGGTGGACAGCAAGGTGTACTGCATGTACTGATGGATGATGGTGGAGGCCAGTTGAACTGGGAGTGAAAGTGCTCGGCCCAGCGGTCCATACGCCTCTGTTGGTTGGTGATCGGAGACTCATCCAGCTCACAAATGACCTCACTGACACCAGGCTTCCTGAGGCCAGTGGACCGAATGAGTTGGAAAAGCCTGCGAGTGTTACCAGAGAGGGCAGCAGTCTCCATCTCTAAAGTACGCTCAGACCACCATGTCTCGCGATCCTTGCGGAGGCTTTGCTTAAGCAGCCGGTTGGTAGAACGGCGCTGCTCGTTACAATCTGATTCCGTGGAGATATCTTTGCGGCGTTCGAAGAGCTCCAGAGAACGAGCAGAGATCCAAGACTTCAAAGGGCGTCGAGTTAGACCGCAGTATGACTGTCCGGAAATGGTCAGCGCTTTCCGTATACAAGTCCAGTGTTGTTCCACTTCTCGCGGTGGATTGCAACTGAGTGCATATGCCAGTGAAGACTGATAGATCTCCTGGACAGAGGAATCAGTTAATCTGTTTACATCAATCTTGCGGTGCTTCATGTTTCGGGATCCTCCAAAACACATACAGATTTTCGCGCAGACCAGAGCATGATCTGAATCAACGAAAGTGGACCAAAAGGACCTGCAGTTTAGTACGCTGCCGCGCCATCTGAAGCTAATCGCAATGTGATCAATTTGAGACCACAGTTGTGTTGAAGAAGGGGGACGCCAAGTTGCAGAACGCTTCTTCGTACGCCTGAAGCTTGTGCTCGAGAGAAACAGACGGTTGTCCTCGCACAATGTGAGAAGTCTCTCTCCGTTATCAGAGCGGTTCTCATCGAGCGCGTGATGACCACCAAGGTGGCGTTCGTATGGTAACAGGCGGCCAACCCGTGCAT